CAGGCAGGCAGGCAGGCATACACACAGCACATGACGTATGTGCACACGAATGTACAAAAAATACAGACATACGCATCCACAGGCTCACCTGGACCTAATTACCCGACCGAAGCTGAAACCCGCAGGCTGGTCGCGGAAACCCTGATCGAAACAGGAACAGAAAGCCTTCAAAGCAGACCCCGGGAAGAACCACCCAGAAGAGAGCAGGGGAGCCTCAACAGAAACCCCGAACCCCCAAACGCTATGAAGTAGGGCTTAGGCTGGGCTTAGACGGGGTTCGGGTTTCGGCTTGAAAGTTTCGTGTCCACAAAACCAACATGTTCCCCATCCCACTGCAGGGGAGGCGGCTCAATGCACACCGCCATCGTAGACTCCAGTCCCTTCCTGGAGCACTTCAGGGAATTATGATTACAATTCGTAGTAGTATAAGAAATATCAATCATAACAACTAGTATGCTTATTATGACTGTATGTCTAAACACAAACACCACAAGTAAACCAAGTGGGGGGTTCAATATCGCGGCGGTTGGTATATGTGTGTATATATATATACATACATACATACATACATACATACATACATATATATATATACCTGTCTCTCTCTCTCTGTCCATAAATGTGTCTATAAGGGTTCTGTACCAAAGAAGTTTGAACCAGGCCCTCCATTGGCCCAGGGTCTCGCGCTCCGGCAGCTTCTCGCCGATGGCGTAGACGCACTTCATGCCGGAATCCAGGATGAGCTTCCTGGTATTGAAATAGCCCTCAACTCTAAGGCGGAAGTATCCCTAAACTCTAAGCCGGGCGGTGAGGGGCTTGCAGGGTGAGCTTTTAAAGGGTGTGTAGGCACTTCTCCGTGCGTTATGCTTGAGGGGCTTTTTCGGGAGTTCTTGGGCGGTCAGGGGGTTTCGGGACTTAGGGTTTTGTGTGTCATTGGGGCTTTGGGTAGGATGAGCTTCCTGGTGTGCAGGTTGCCGCGTTTTGCGCTATTGGGGCTTAGGGGGGCTAGTAGGGGTTGGGATTACGGCTTAGGAAGTGGAGCCAATGATTTGGGGTTAGTTTTGGGGGTTGTCGGGTGCTTGAGAAATTCAGGGGCTTAGGGTTTAGTAACGACGTTTTTTGTGGCGGTCTAGGGGGTATTTATACGAGGGTTGAGAGTTTAGCGTTTAGACTCTTTCGAGGCTCGAGGGCTCACGGATTGAAGTTCTGATATGGCAAAACCCCAAACTCTAAGCACCTAAACCCTAAACCTCAAACTCCAAATCCTCAAACCCTACACCAGTGCTTCCGCGACGCATCTTCTCAGCCAGGAGCTCGTTCGACTCCTGCGCCGTAGCGGCAACGAACCGTATTGCGATCTCGACAACTTCCCACCATCGCTTAAAAGCGTAGAGCCCTCGTAAATTACGATTATCAACCACAATATGATTGTTACTAGCTCTGTATTGCTCGTATGTTTCTTAATGTAATAATGACATTATGCGCCTATTGGAAGTCATTCACCAAAACCGACATCCCATACTTCTCGCCAAGAGCCCCGGTGAATGGAAGTCCTGAAAGCTTGGATTTTGTGACTTCTGGTTTAGAGTTCATGATTTATGGGTTAAAGCTCTCGCAACTCGGCAGTGCAGGCGAGCTTGGTCCATGGCTCGCAGGGAGGCTCATGTGGCCCCAAGTCGGCAGATGAGACGACTCTACATCTTTCGCTCCAGACCCAGGTGTCTGTACTGAAAGAAATCCCGACCCACCCAAAAGTACCATAGGGTCTAGAAAGTTTAAGGTTCAATTAGGGAGGGCTGCACTCAAAATCTCTGGACACCCCATGTCAGAGACTGTGCGACCCGTTGTAATCCTGTAAAAGCCTTTGTAACCCATATCGAACTCCGAGACAAGGAAGAACCCCTTAAAAGCCTCGCTAAACACCCTAGATTAAACCTTATCAACCCACAACGCTGTTGAAACCTAGTCGAACCACCCGGAGCAATAACAAAACACCAAAGACAAACTCCCTCAAAACCCTAAACCACCCCCAAAAAACAAGAACTAAAAACCTTGAAGTACTCGCGGCGCTCTGAGTGGCCGATCAGCACCCACTCGATCTTCAGATCCTTTCAAAGGGGATGGACATGCGGGGCTCCCATAACGGGTCCTTTCTTATCAGGCGTATTTGTCGGCCCGTTTTCGATCCGTAAGGGTTTCGACTCACACACTCGCTCACGCATGGCATGGCATAAGGGTTTAGGGTTCCTGTACTGGTTTCGGCGCTCGCATCTTGGACGATCCAGGCGAGGCATGCGTCTACGTCTCCGCTGGTGAAATTAGAGGATTTACGCTTTGCGGTTCCGATAAGGGCTCAGTTAAGAGTTCTGTCAGAGTTTTAGGTTTAGATTGTTGGGTGAATTTCGAGATCTCTTATCAACAAGGATCTGGTGCTCAGGCATCCACAACTCACAGTGTGGGTGAGTTAAACCTCACTTTTTGCTATGGGGCTTGTCAGACGTGCGAATCTGTTGCTGTAATTACCCTTTAGGGGCTGGAGCCTTCGCACTGCAGAATGTGTTGCTCTGCCCTAGCAGCAGCTAGTGCATATAACTAGGGGTCTAAGCTACCAGAAGAAGTACGGCGGTACTCTTCGGGGCCCAAATGACTCACGGTAGACATGCCGAGCCATGTCTATCTGAAGTTTTCTTGGGCAGAGCAGGAGGTCTTAAGAGGCTCGGCTTGTAGGCACATGGTGCTAAGCGCCGTTAGTGGTTACTGCTGTGCTGTGGTTACAGGATTACGGTTATGTCTTGAGCTCATGTGGGGCGAAACGGCTCGTGAGAAAAACGAAAGGTTTGCCCCATCGTACACAGCCACCCCCACCGGCCCCCATCAGACATCCGAAAACTAAACCCAAGCACCAAGACATGTGCACCCAAATTGCACAGGAAGTATAAAGTCGAGCTGCATTGAGCTTCTAAGCTTCTTGGCATAAGCCTGCCCTGTGGGATGGATTCAAGGCCCGGTCCCTTCCGCTATGCCGAGGTCTTCTTGGCAAACCAACACGACAGGCATCAAGAGAGCCCCAAGCCTCAAACTCCAAAACGGCAGCTCTCCAACTTCCCTCCCCACAAGGAAAAGCCCAAAAGACCAAACACCCCAAGGCTAGGTAGGCGAGTCGGCCCTGAGTTCCCATACCTTCATCTGCTCGACTGCAACCTCACCCGTGTAGGCCTAAGCTGTGAGGATGGAGGTCGAAGAAACATGTAGGGAGCGATGGTTTCGGGTGGCTCACTTAAAGGCCAAGACTTCTTTAGCCACAGAGCATGTTCGAACGAAGTCGTGGGTTGCTCGAACCTTCGACGCTTAACTCCTATCTTGAAGGAAAAGAGTGACTCAATAGTAGTGAACATCCAACAACCACCCTCAACACATGCACCCGGGGTTCCCCTACGCCTCGAACAAACGCCAGAACCATAGATCCATCCCTAGACGCATCATGACCTGCTTCGGGTTTAGGGTCTCGACTCTCAAACTCGCACAAAGCAGGCAAGGTTCCACGTGATCCCGTCGCGCAGGATGACTTAAAGCAACTGCGCATAGAAACCCGAACCAGGGACTCAAGTCGCAAAGCCAAAGCCCTCAACCCCAAAATCCGAACCTTGAAAAACACGCCCAGGCATCCCAAGAGTCCGCGAAGACCCAGAATGAAGAAATCGCTCTTCCCCAATATGTTGGGATATATTGGCGTTGAAGCCGTCCCATGGTAGCCATATTTTTCCGACACACCTGACACGTTCACACACCCGACTTCGACCTTAAAGAGCTCAAGGTCCCATGTTTACCCTAAGCCCAAGGGGCTCCGCAGCCCTTGAAGTTGCAGTTCTGCGGGCAGACGTTGATCCCCGCCTGGGTTTAGGGTTCAGGGGTTCTGGGTTTAAAGTTTCGACTCTCACGCTCGTGGGTTTAGGGTTGAGGGTTTACCGGGGAGGGAGCTCTCCCAGCATTTTGCTTAGGGAGGTGTTGATAACTAGCAACCGGAGTAGGGATCGGGCCTCGTGCCTTGGTCCATCATGGTCTACATATAAAGGGACCATAACGGTATACTACTAGTAGTCAGATTAGGATTTAGGGCTTTTATGCCTCCGGTTTAGGGGTTTTTTTTTGGTTTAGGGTTTAGGGTTCGGCAGAGGTCAGGCTGCTGGGGTCCTTTGGGTGCCCCGGGCTTCGAGGTTCTGTTGGGCCCTGCTCGAAGCCTCTTGGCAAAACGCGAAACAGGAAATTCCAAACCCTTCATCCCAACTTTTGGTCCCAACTCCCTTTTTTAGGATGGTCTGGGTCGCTGAGCTTCCGAAATCCAAACCCTCTACCATAAACCTTCAATTCAGTCCTTGAAGTAGCTCTTATGCCAGCTGATGCAATGATAGCAACCCTTGCAGTAGTGCTTGTGGTGACCCCTGAAGAAAGACTGGCAATAACCCTGATAATTGCCCTCACAATAAACAACCCGTACAGTAGCCTTTGTATGTAGGAACCCTGAAGTGTAGTCCTTAAAGCAACCCTTCAAGATCCCTATCGCAGCCCCCACTATAGCGTGCCCCTTAAAAGTACCCCTTCAATCGAATCCGACACTCAAAGAAGGGGCCCGCCTTGACCTTGGAGCAGACGTAGGCCACGTGGAGAGGAGAGGGGCAAACATAAATGTCACACTTGCTGGCGTCGCAGGCGTTCCTGGAGTTTACGGTTTGGGGTCCCGGGGTATCGCGCTTGAGGGTTTGAGGGTTTAGGCTTTTGGGTCAAATGCATAACAGGGTTTGGTTTCCGATGACATGCTACGGCAAGGCTGGGAGAGGGTCTCGATTGCAACATGGGGGCACTGCATATGTGGCATCATTGTAGTACATTTGTCGAGCTGCTTATAGAAGAAGACACAAACAAGCAAGCAAACACACATACATCAACACCTACACATACATACACGCATAAACACATCTCACATACACACATACATACACACATCTCACATACATACATACCTACCTACACACATGCATACATACATACA